AGACTGTATTGGAAGCTGAGACTCAACAACCATCTAATCCAGCACTCCACTTCTAAAGGAGCAAGGCAGATCTTTCTAGGATGTTCAGAAAGTGGACATGGAAGCAATTGCAAGTTCTGCTGCTTTCCAGCTCAGAAGCTCTACTCTTCACTATGGCCAACAATACTTCCTAAATTGTCCAATTGTCCAGACAGAAGGATGTCTAATCCAGTGTTTCTCAACCTTGGCAACTTTAAGATGCGTGGACTTCAATTCCCAGAATTCTCCAGCCAGCATGGCTGGCTTGGGAATTCTGGGAGTTGAAGTCCACACATCTTAAAGTTGCAAGGGTGAGAAACACTGGTCTAATCTATAGCTGAGGTGAAAGTTACAAAGTTGCTTGCTCTTGAGTCAGAACCCTAGCCCATTAAGCTTAAGTGTTGGCAGTAACAGCAGTTTTTCTGAGTTTTCAGACTGGAGTCCAACATTCCTAGGACTGAATTTGTGAATTTTTGCATGCAAAGTAGCTGTTCAACCTCTTTGCTAAACTCTTTTCGTAACAGGTTTCATTTGATGTTCAATTAGAGTTTTGTGGAATTGCAGCAGCATGCCCAGAGAATATCAATGGGGTTCTCTCTGTGATCAAGTGAAATTATTTGTAATCTCCAGGAATGAATTTACCATGTAATGGTGACAGCAGTGGCATCTTCTTTTCAAAGTTGCTCTTTCTGCTTCTGGCGGGAGGAAGATGGTTTTAAAGGGGGAAGGAGAAAGAAAAACAACCCTTGAACCAGTAACCCCCAATTCCTTAAGATTTAGAGTGGGCCCTGAACAACAACAACAGAAAGAAACATAGAAATTTCCCATGCTGCAATGAAAAGGGGGAGATTTTTTTAAAGGGGGCATTAACGCTTAGCCCTAGAATTCCCACCCAAGAACATCAAAACCAGTAGTTATCACCATCACTACCATATTTAATGATGCTAAAGTCTAGAAATCAATGATGTAGCTTATATATAGTAATTGTGTTGCCTGTCTCAGTTCCAATGGTAGTATTGGTCAATCACACTCTCAAGAATTGGGCCACTGGTGTGGATGAAAGCCAGAAGTCCTAAATTCAAGAGTAGCTATGCAATAATGTGATCTGGTGACCTTCAGCCAGGTTTCCTCTAACCTGGTGCCATCTTTCAAATATTTTGAGACTATATCACTCTCAATTTTATCTCCCCCATAAGCTCCAATTATGAAAATGATAGCAACAGTACAACATACAGGCTGATAATGCTTAAGATATTGTACAGTAAATACCCAATCAACTCTAAACTTCCTAACAAAACATCAAATGTTAACTCTCAAGCTTAGTTATATAAATTAGTTCAGACAAGGTTCCCAGGTAATAATTTGGACCGAGCATTAAAGGTGCTCAAAAGGTACTCACTACAATATTAGTCATTAAGCAGTCCAGCTGTGCCATCTGAATGCTGCCTAGATAATGCACACCTTTATAAGCATCAGAGTTTGCTTAATCACAGCCACACGCTCCCTCAACATAGACAACAGGGGAAAACAGCCAGCCCAAGACTTTCTGGATACCTTGCAGGAGAGATGGAAAAGGCAGACTAGAAGGCCCAACTCCCTTGGATAACTGATTCTGAGAGCCAAAGAGCAATCATATTTTGAATGAATGAAATATACTTCGTAGGACATGATCTTCAGGGAAAGAGAGCTTCTTCCACAGGCTGCACGGCTCCAATTCCTTTCCACAAGGACTCTACAGGAGAACTCCCCTCCCCCATTGCAGATGACATCCCATGATAACATTATACAGAAAAGTGCTAAACCAAATCTCCTTCTCTAAAAGCAGCTTATGGGTGCAATGAGTGACACCAGATCATAAAGTCATTGATGACCACCAACCAATCTGATGAATTTTTAAAAGAAGAAAGAAAAAAGTCAATGCCAGCATACAGAGAGAAGTACCCTCCACTACAAAGAGAAGCACCCCCTGCACATATATTACCCTTCCTCCCCCCTGCCCCCTTGATTTACTTGCAGCCTCCATCTGCTGCTCAGACGGGATCATGAAGCCAGCAACAGCTGAAGTCTAGCCCTTTGTCTTTGTGACAAAGAGTTAAAGGAACTCGAGCGACCGCTCCGTCACCAAGCCCGGCCCATTCTGTGCCTGTGATATGCTGTACCAAGGACTAGAACCACCTCAGTGGCTTCATGGAGGCCTCCTGCTCTCCAGGCATTGGGGTTGAACAATGCCGCCTTCGCTACAAGGTTGGGATTGCTACCAAGGGAGGAATCCCTCGAAACTCTCTGCCTGGCAAAGGGTATCGCCCACATGGTAGCACTACTGGGGCTCATTAAAGAGCCTGCTCCATTTTCCTAACAACAAACTTCTTCCTCTTTTTCTCCCTGGATAGGCCTGATTCCCTGCAGGCTGAGGCAGAGGGGACAAGAGTCCATGGCTGTCAACACAGTAGCATTTTCCTCTGTAAGGAGAAGGTAAATATGGACATTTATTCTGTCTCTTAAAGAAAAAGATAACCAAAGGCAAGAGTTTTGCATCTTTTCCCCTTAAGTATGAGTAGCCTCTGCATTTGAGAGATTTAAGAATGGGAGAACAGAGAAGGGAATTTAACAAGCAGCATCGTAGACTCAGTTTTACTGAACATGGAAGTGGCAGCCACATCTCCAATATAAACTATTGTCACACCTGGCAACCTAAAAGACTTATCAGCAGGCAAACATCCACTCCATGCTGGTGGATTGGGACGGGTGAAGGAGCAGCAGGCAAGAAATGAGGAAATGTATCAGCAGCTGCCAGTGACTTCAGCTGTAGAGATTAGGGAACACAGGCTGTAGTTACGCAGGGTTAGTTGCATGGACATCAGATGCCTGTTCTCAACACTTACTGTTTTTTCCCTTTATATTTGGTTTCTGAGGAAATGAGATCTTTCCCCTAATTACTATTTCCAATTTTAAAAGTATTGGAAATAGTAACTAGGAGAAGGATCTCATTTCCTCCTTCTTTAAGAGGCTACCATTTTTCAGTTGCATTTTAAGTCTTTTATGGCCATGCTGGCCACATGTTACAGCACTGAAATGCTAATCTATTACTTTGTTTTCAACTTAAATTATGGCAGACGTTTACTCTATCAATGTGCACTTCAGACTCTGGATTTCCACTGATGCAAATAGATCCATTACAGCTTTGAAAATTCCTTTCTGGGAGATTTCTTGCTGACGCGCACAGTTTTGTGGAACTAAGAGAAGACAAGAAGGGAAAATCAAAGGACTGCTGTGTAAGTTTACAAAGGCTTCACTTGTACCCCTCCACCCCAACATTTCAGGCCTCCTTGCTGAATCCCCCCCCCCTCTTTCTTGCACTTATTAGAGAAACAGTCTCTTGCTATGCAACACTGTTCATAAATGCTCTTACAATGGAAAGTGCAAACAGCGCGGCTTTCTCAGAATAAGCAAGTCTTTCTCTCCTCCCTCTGCAGATACAGCCACATATTCCCTTCTAACATTTTGAAACCTCTTACTTGAGTATCATTTTAGCATTAAGACAGTCAGCCGCCTCAGCAGTATACTTGAACAACAAAAACTAACAATAATCGAATGTAAACGGTAACATCTCTCTTAATTTCTTCCTTGACTTTATAAAGTGCATAGAGGAACAAGGCAAAAATAGGACGCATAGATCTTCCTAACTTCTGTCCAGTGGCCACAGTCAAACTAAGAACTACTGATGCACATTAGCCAACATGGTAGAGGGTCTAAAACTGCTTCTGACTTCATTTGTTTTCTAAAC